GTGTTACATGTAGGTGGCTGAAAATGCACACGTACTGGATAAGGAACGAAGAATATACGAGAGGGCATTTGTTTAATTGCTTGCAGAACAGGATAAAGGATTCTCTCCTAATAACTTCCCATGCCAAGCAAAACCACATGCAAGGATGTTTTAAGCCAAACTACAGATCTCTACTTTAACAAACAGAAAACTTATAGTTATGGACTCTGGGTGGTCCCAATACTTCTCTTATGAGGGCAAGAGAGTGATTTCTCTTCCCTGACCAATCAGGTAAAAAGTTTCTGAGTCCTGAGTTTATTCACTACTTGAAATCTACATAAGATATTTCTTTCTGTTGCTCAGTGATATTTTTACAAGATAATATCCATGAACCAATTTTCCTTAGCAGCAGCATGGGACTTTGATGTATACAAAATCTTGATAAGTATTCATTATATTAATGAGTAAGGAGGTTAATAAACGTTCAGCCACATTTATTGAATATCTACTGTGGATCAGAGACTGTGCCAGCTGCAGATACAGACAGATGAATAAGACCCACTTTCTGCTATCCAGGAGCTCACAGAATACAGGATAAAAATAGTTTGTGTTTGGTTTGTGAATTGCAAAACTGCTAAGTATTTAAAACTTTGAGAAAGAAAGATAATAAACTTTTAGACTCTGGAGATGATCTTTTTAGTTTAAGATAGGGTTCTTGGATCTAATTTGGGTGAGGAGGTTTTTAGCTTCTCTGCCACTGAGAGTACGGACCCCTTGTCTGTTTACCTTCTATGAAGCATGTCTTGTGCACCTGAAATGTGAGTCTCCTGGGATCTCTGGATGATGGAGGTCCCAGCCCAGGCCAGAGTTGCAGGGTCAGGACTCTGTACTGAGTTTCTGTGGTTCTGCTAGAACAACCACAGTGTTCATGTTACACTAAAGTGTTTGGATGTCGACTTGCACATATCCAGGAGCATTGTCTATCTCTGCGTGCAGCCGTGAAGCTAACGCATATATAACTCACGATATTAGCACTGGTCTACGTGGAGCCCGTGAACCACACACTGTGCAGTTACAAACTTCTGTGGAGTACAGTCAATATATGCACTTGGTCTACTTTATGCATTTTTACTATCTTAACATGAACCTCCTTTCTCAGTCTGTAACACTAAACTCAGAAAAAGAAAATGGAATTAATTCTCCAGTTCTAAAGAGCGCCGGGTTACCACCCTCAGAATCTCTTAGGTCTGGAATATTTACTCACACAGGATTAATCCTGGCAGACGCTGCATATGTAGGGTCATGAAAACAACAGAAGAGAGAGTGTGACTTGAGTCTGTAGAAGGGACGTGGTAAAATTGTCCTTGAACCTATTATGAGCTGGAATTAACACTGTTTGATTGACCATTGCACTGGAGAAACATACTCTTTCAGAGGAGGCGGTAGAAGGAAGGTTGTTTAGGCAGAAGAAAGGACAACTGCTTTGAGAGTTGTCATATACGCAGTTTAGATTTAGGTCCCCTGAGGAGAAATACCCCTGTGAAACCACAGCAAACACCTGCTGCCCAGCCCCTGGACTTGTGAGGCTGCCAGACCCAAGGTGCTGGTGCCAGATTGGAATTGTATTTGAAATAATACAATTCCAGGCTTCTCAGCAAATTTCTAGAGTCCCTTAGGTTTTGTTGTGTTGAAATAGAGTAAGTAAATAACTTTATAAAAATATAAAATCTGGAATTTTCAAGCGTTCACCAGACATATCACTTTACGTTCACCACAGTATTGACCTCACACCATACCTGAATTTTGTTCGACCTGTTTGCTATCAGAAGGCAAATCAGAGATGCTTAGTTTGAATGTTGCTGCTTAGTTTGAGTGTAACCCAGGAAGTCTAGGTTAAGGGACAGGCATGTGTAGCCACATGTAACTAGACTGTGACAGAACTGGACCAAAAACTCAGGACTCATCCCCCTAAATTCAGTACTTCTTTGGCTATCGTGAGTCATCTTCACTTGTCCTATGAAGCTGCCAGTGATGGACAGTCCCATTTCTCAATAACCTGTCCCTGTGTTTGAATCATCTCTATGCAGATAAGTACAGGCCACGCTGGGTGACCCCGGGCTCCTGCTCTGCCTCTCTATGGTCTGCCTCAGGCTTCTGCATGCTGCCAGAGCCCTGGCGTCCTTCTGCTGTCCTTGAGGCAGAGCTGGGACAGCCACCTCTGCAGCATGACTCCTCCTCCCGCTCCTCTGCTCCATGCACAGAGGGGCCTGCATCCCCCTACAGGGCGCTGGGACCACCACCACACAGGATGCTTGGCAGAGAAAGCTGGTACGCCTCCGAGGGCCTGAGCCCCTACAGCATCTAATGCTCGATGTTTGTTTTCCTTCTGTCAGAGTCAAGAACTATTATACGCTGAAGAGTGAATAGAAATGGGACAGATGCTGGGGAGAAAGCACTAGCAATGAGGCCACAGGGTGGAGCTGGCAACACAGAGCAAAGCCGGGGAAGCAGGCACCCGATGCTCACTCCTCCTACCCGCCCTGCAAGGCCTGGGGACAGAGAACATGTGTGTGTGACAGAGAGAGACTCTCCATGTGTGGCTTACATGAGGTTTGATTATTTTCCTCTTTCAGTTAAAGTGGCTAATTTGAAATTTTTGCACATCTCATTCATATAAAATTGCACACCTCATTCAATTCCTACGTTTGGGACAAAGATGTTTTGATCTCATGTAAATGCAGAATGCCTCCTCTGATGAAAGCCTTTGGGAAATGCATGTGCGACTAACATCCAGTTATACACACTCCCCACATCTTCAATGACACTTCTAAACTCTTCATATGCAAAAGAATCTGTTTTGCTTATTTTACTTCCCTGAAAATGACCCAAGGATTGGTCATACCTTTCTATAAAGTCAGTAGATAGTATTTAAAAATAACTTTCATCCGTAAGAGGCTTAAAAACAATTCTATAATAAAACCAGTAACAAAAATGGAAAGTTGGCATCTTGGATTTTTTTTCTTTGCTGGAATTATGAACATCATAAAAAGACAAGGACCAGGAGATAATCGTGTTCAAGTAGAATTGCAAATTGCAATTAACCTCCAAAGTTCTGCCACAGCTCAGGGTTTCTCCATTTTGCAAATTTAATTCTCTTTAAATTATTATTGTTACTATTTTTCAATATAGGAAAGAGCCCTTTTGGGAGGGAGGCTGGATAGGAGTTTCCAACAAGATGGGAATTACCGAAGCACCGGGAGATTTGAACAAGCATGCATTTATTTATTAGTGCCAGGTCAACGTGAGTGATAAATATAGATGCAATTGCTTGCTGGACATTTCACAGGTGGATGATGTGACATCCTATAGTCTGCTACAGACATTAGAAAACAGTCTCTAGTTTTTCTTGTTCTTTGGTTGAATGTGGGCCAAAACCAAAACAAAACAAAACATAATTATGCTGATTTGCAGTTTTCCCTTGTAATATGATTTCAAACACAACGGTGGAGATGACTTTGTTCAGTCTCCATCAGGTTTAACTAAAGATTTATGCTGAAGTGACAGTTGACTTTTTATTACCTAGAAAGAGTTAGGTACTTGCTAATGCCAACAGGATGGCATTTTCCTTCTTCTTAGCCCCACGAAAACTTAATATATGCTATTCATTGCTCAAGTGGACCTTATAAAATCACTTCAAAGGACACCACAGCTGAAGACTGAAGAGTAATATTTATCGACATTAAATAAACACTGGGTGAAGTCTCCATAAATATTTCTTCATAGAAACATAACATGAAATTAAATAGTTCAGATACACAGACACCACTGAGCACACTGTCACTGTTGTCAAAGTCATCTGTAAACACCACCTCACACTAAAGACAAAGCAGCTTCTACCCCAGCCCCAGGCTCTCAACAAAGACGCCCAGTACAAGGGTAAGTTTCTTGCAGCCCCCCCTCCCCCGCCCCTCCCGCTCCCCACACAGCCCCTGCAAAAGGAAAAGAGGAACCCCAACAACTACAGCAGCAACAAGGACCACGACAGCATCCCCTCCCCTCCCCCCAGGGAAAACATTTAGCGTTTTGGTCAATTCAAAGGATAATGCAAATTATTTTTTTAAAATGTAAGGAAATCAGTTTAAAACATTACTTTTCAGAGTGTAATTCTTTCTTCAGAGGACACACGTCACTTCCTAAACCCCACCTATTCTTGGGTGAAGGTTTCACAAACAACACCAGAAAGCACTGGCCACAGCTGAGGAACAGAGGTGAAGCCCTATTTTCTTTTTGAAGGTGCCAGGTAGCAAGAAATCACATACAATGATCTCCTTCGTCCCCCTCCCAATGTTTCTTTTGCTCTGTCATAGATATTGCTGTGTGTGACATTCAAACATGACACTGGTACTGAGTTTCAAGCAGTTTAGACAGCAGAAGTTTTGTTTTAAAACATTCAGATTTGCATGATTAAATTCAAACATGGACGTGGGTTCATTCTTTGAGCTCAGAGGGACCCTGGTTTAGCTCTGTTGAGAGGCTGATCACATCAGAGACTGCTCAAGCCACCGTGCACCGTCGCTCTGCACAGACCTGCAGGAAGGGCCTGGCTGCGATCTGCGGAGTATTCTTATTTTGTTTTAAAACATTCAGATTTGCATGATTAAATTCAAACGTGGACGTGGGTTCATTCTTTGAGCTCAGAGGGACCCTGGTTTAGCTCTGTTGAGAGGCTGATCACATCAGAGCCTGCTCAAGCCACTGTGCACCGTCGCTCTGCACAGACCTGCAGGAAGGGCCTGGCTGCGATCTGCGGAGTATTCTTCAGGGTGGTTTGTGGAAAACAGCCCTGGTTTCAAAAGGTTAAACTGGGGTTATTTCACCATTACGTTGTATTAGGATCCTAGAGAACTTCAGTTACCAAAGTACTGAAAGCATATATTGCAGTAATAATTTGCTAGTTCAGTGTCTCCCATTATATTATATACACTATGTGTGTGCGTGCGGAACTCACACATATATATATGTATATACTTATGTATTTTTATTTGTACGAAACTTGAACTGCACAAAACAGTACTTTGCAAGAATCAAGTCCATAAATAGAGTTTAACAACACAATAGAGAAGACAGGAAGCTCTATTGGGGCAAGAAGGTTCAGCTTTGCAACGTACGAAGTAACTGCAGAACCGCAGACCCACAAGCCTGCTCTGTTCCATGTGGGGTCGCATGGACACTTTTGGGATCCTTGGGAAGGATGTGGCAACAGGGCCAGCTATACTCATCTGAGATTCCAAAGCTAATGGGAATTAAGAGACCCAGGCAAATCAATTTATAATTTGCTATGAAGCAATATTTTTTTCCTCTTTAAGAACAAACACTTAAAAGTCTATTTCAGAATAAATTTCTTTATATTCAGTAGTATGCTATTTTTTGGGGGGGGCTGAATTGGTATTTGACTTTTATATTAAAAGAGGTTTATTCAATGGATCGGTAAACAGGCAGCTTCTCTCACACCTGGGTGAGAAAAACATTTTTATCATGGCCAGAAATCACCCCCGCCCCCACCTTACTCCTCCTAAGGTTGGTGGGTTGGCATGTGCGTCTTGTCACTGCTAGCGATCAAACCTCACCCTACAAGGCCTGCTCGGGCACACGCTTGTGAAAGATGACCGACTGTCTTTGCTGGTACTGCTGCTTTCGTCTCTTTTTTTTGTCACACTGGCACAGCAGCAGCATCTTGAAGGTGGTTCTGAATGTTTTGTTGCACAGGGCATAGCACACGGGGTTTACGGTGCTGTTGATGTAGCACAGCCAGTAGCCCAGATTCCAATAGGTTTTGGGGATGCAGCTGTCACAAAAGGTGTTCACCAGAACCATGATATTGTAGGGGGTCCAGGTGATGATGAAGGCAAGCAAGATGGCACTGAGGGTCTGGGCGGCTTTCTTCTCCTTGACGAGGGACATCCTTTTCCGCTTAGTGATCTGACTTCTGGTCTTCAGAGCAAACCTCTTGGCCAGAGTGGCTTCCTTGAAGGACAGAGGTAGAGTGGCCGTGGTCTTGCCCACTGAGGAGTCAGCGTCAGAAGTCTTGGCGGTGTCCACGGCTGACTCTAGCTGGATGGGAAGCTTTGAGAAGCTTTTTGGGAAACTGTCTCCACCGTCCATGCTCTCCTGTGTCTGCAGCTTGCTGGCCTTCCTCTCCAAGTCCACTGGCCCCAGCTCCTCCGTGGGCACCTGCAGGTTGTCTGAGGAGGGCAATTTGGTGGAGGTGAGAATGGTGCTGTGGCCTGGGAGCTTGAGCACAATGGAATAGATGGCTCTCGTCTCGGAGCCAATGTCCTCCTCGTCAGAGGAGGCAGAGTTGTCCAGCGAGGCGGCTGCATCATTGTTGTTCCAGCTGTCACTGCTGCTGTGGTCTTGGTCCATCTGCTCAGCACTGGGCTTCCAGCTCTTGGTTGTGAACCAGAAGTGGCAGCGGCCGTACTTCCTCCTGGCTGAGCGTCTCGTGCTTTGCTGTTGAAGTTCGTAACTGCTGCAGCTTCGAGAACTGCCCGTGGGGTGGACAAAGTTTTCTGCCTCTGCTTCTGTCCCAGAGGCTTGCAGCCCAGCCAGCTCTTTGGTACGTTTCTCGGTTTCCTTATAGATCCTCCAATATAAAATAGTCATGATGGTGACAGGCATGTAAAAGGCGGCAATGGCCGTGCCGAAGGTGATGGTAGGCTCACTGAGAAACTGAATGAAACACTCCCCCGGAGGCACAGTCCTCTTCCCAACAAAGTACTGCCAGAACAAGATGGCAGGAGCCCAGAGGACAAAGGAGATGACCCAAGCCAGGCCGATCATCACGCCAGCTCTCTTTGTCGTCCTCTTGGCTCGGTAGGTGAGCGGCCTCGTGATGGAAAAGTACCTGTCAAAGCTAATGACCAGAAGGTTCATGACAGAGGCATTGCTCGCCACATAGTCAATGGAAAGCCAGAGGTCACAGGCCAAGTTCCCCAAAGCCCATCGATTCATGATGATGTAGGTAGTAAACAGATTCATTGAAATGACCCCAATAATCAGATCGGCACAGGCCAGGCTTAAGAGGAAGTAGTTGTTGACAGTCTTCAGCTGCTTGTTGACCTTGAATGCCACTATGACCAGGATATTGCCAATGATGGTCACCAAGGCCAGGAAACCCGTTAGGAATGCGATGAAGACCACTTGCCAGAGGGTGTGGCCTCCCAGAGGGTCACTGGTGGTACCATTTGGAGAGGAGATATTCCCAGCTGCTCGAGAAATGTTGTAGCTGCCAAAATGCGTGACTGTCCCTGGGGGCAGCCCTGAATCTGAGGGGCTGTGTATCCAGGAAGAGCTGATGTTTGGAAACAAAGGCGAAGTTGAACTGCTATTGTGTAAGGTCATTGTGACTCTCTGACATAGTCTGGGGAAAAAGAGAGAGAAAAGATGGAGTCAGGAAAATGCTTTCCTTTGACATGTTCATGGCATTGCATATATCAAAAGACACAGAAGACCTATTATACGATGTTGACTCTCAAGAAGTCAAACATCGTCAAGTTCATTCTCTTATTTTAAAGGTGAGGAGTCCAGGGCAGATGACCTGATTTGTTTGAGTCAATAACAAAAATTAGCAAGAGGCATGCATTGGACAATGTTTTTTCCCACATTTTTCACATTTCTACATAATGCTGTTATCAAAGAATATCCCCCTTATTTCTCTTATTTTGTAAAGGGACAAAATATTAGATGCTTATATGAACCTTACCCAAAATAATTTCTTTATCATCATGCTACTTGATAAATTAACTTGATTCATTGGCATTTTATCCATCTGGGTATTTATCTATCTGAGGATTCAGGCAAAAGCAACTCTAAGGTGATACCAGCCATTTAAGCCTCATTGGAATGAGCAATGCTAACCCGGAGCAAAGGAGAAAACAAGTGTGAGTTAATTTGCATTATATCATCTCTTTAAAACAGACATTGAAAAAGTAATGATTTGGTTTCTTGTGATGACTGGAACAATGACTGTCTATAAGGCTGCTACCATATGTGTGATAACATGTAGAAAAATCCTTTACCAGAATGTTTTGAATGTATTTAGATGTTTTAACTCCAATAATGAAAAGGTATTTTAGCATGTCATACATATATGCACACACACATATTTGCATATAAATAGTTGCAAAACTGCAATTAATGTTTTCAAACACTTGTTACCAAAGTATATATAGCAACTAAGAACTGTTACAATTAAGGTGTCACCAGTGAGACACCCCCATGATGTTTTGCCCAGCCTGGGCTGTGACCTGTATCATCCTGTTGGAACCTCCAATGCTGTTCTTCCAGAATACCATGGCCTAGGATTCTCACACTGCCAACTGCTGTGGACTAGATCCAGTAAATCATTCCTCAGTGAGTGTCATTCTGTGAATCCAAAGTCTAATCCGAACATCATAGAAAAAGTCTATTGAGAGAACTTTCTGTTGTGTCTATACTCTTGGTTTTCAACTATAAACTTTTACAAATACATATGTAAACACACATAAGCATCCCAAGTCCTGAAGTACTGCATGTCCTAGCATCTCTGAGCAGCTCTCAAAAGAGTGCAGTCAGATTCCCTCAGAGCCATTTGGAAAGGCTTTCTGGTGCTGTGAGAAGACTGTGGACTCAGAAAGACTTATGTTCAAATCTTAGTATGATCACTTATTGAAAGTGGGATCATGTATATTATTTAACCTCTCTGAACCCCCTGGCACATAGTAAGTGCTATGTAAGTATCTGCTATTAGTATATTATTATCCTCTTTATTGAACAATGGACTCACTTTGCTTTAGCTCCCAGGATGCTCAGAGCTAAAGTTTCTGCAATAATAAATGTAATAGAAAATATTTATTAGACATTTACTATGTGGTACACATTGTATGAAGGCGTGATATGCATTATCTCTTTTACTCCTTACAATAACCACATATTACAGGAAATGAAGACACAGAGAGGTAAGTAATTTGTCCAAGGACTTGAGCTAACAAGTTGGGGTGGGGGAGGCAGGGAACCCATAGCCTCTGTGTCCAACTGTCATGTCCCATTGCTTCTCCACCAGCTCATTCTAGGTGTCCTGTGCAACTAGATCCTCCTGACTGGCAAAAAATCATTATATGCCTCCTTAAAATGGAATTGGTGTGCATTTAAGAATTAATGAACTGCTCCATCATCTGATGAGTGGATAAGGAAACTGTGGTACACCTACACAATGGAATACTACTCTGCTATAAAAAAGAATGAAATACTACCATTCGCAACAACACGGATGGACTTAGAGAAAATTATGTTAAGTGAAACAAATCAGGCACAGAAAGAGAAATACTACATGTTCTCACTTATTTGTGGGAGCTAAAAAGTAATAAATAAACACACAAACAAATCAAGAGTAGGGGGAAGAAGACAGAATAACCACAAAAATTCCTTGAACTCTTTAAGCCAAGTGCACAGATATGATGTTGGGGGCAGGGAGGGAAGGGGGTGGAGAGGAACGGGTAAAGGGGCATGAAAATCAAGTACAATGTATTTTGAGAAGTAAAATACAATAAAATTAAATTAAAAAAAGAATTAATGAGCTTCCCTCTGTCACCTAAAAGACTGGCAAAAAATGCAAATGATTTGATAACATCAATTGTTGGCAACAGAGAGAGGAAAATAATCAATGTTCATGGTCTAGAGGTTGCAGGGTAAATTGGTTAACCATTTGAAAGGAAATTTGGCAGTATCTCTCAAAATTAGAAAGCCACAATCCATGATCTTAGGAGCTGTCTGTGAGTGTGTGTGTGTGTGTGTGTGTGTGTGCAGTGTATATGTATATATTTTTATATATTTTATATTATATTTATTATATTATATATTTTAACTATATTGTTGGACATATACACACTCATATACACAAGGGTACTTCAAAAAAGTTCATGGCAAAATTTGTATTACCTTTTAATTCTACTTTTTCATGACCTTTTTGAAGTACTATTGTATATACATGTAAATATATCCACTTCAGTAATCTTTGAAATAATAAAACATTGGAAGCAGTCTAAATATTGTAATATATTCTATTACAAAGAATAGCTGAAAATATTCTGTATACTCCATTGCTATTTGCCCATAGATGAAATCTACATTGCCCTTATTTCCAATTATAGGGAATTGATGGTTTTTTTTTTCCTTTTTGTCTTCTTTTTACTTCTTTGAGTCCTATTAGATGGTGTCAACTCATCTGATCTCCAGTTCCTCCTCACGGAGGGGGTGTCACATTCAGGAAGTCCCACATGCTGTTTGGAGCTCTGTTACAGTCATGGTTTCTTCCAAGATGTCTACAGAGAAAATCTGCTCACTCTCCCAGATACCACGTGCAGTGTTCTAGAGGTTTTGCCTCGTTACCTCTGCATTGCACCTGTGACTATGTAGCTGAACAAGAACAGACTCGTCTTTCACCAGACAGCTCAGGCAATACCCTGTCCCTGAAGCTAATGACTAATGTCACTGCTATTGTACTGAGGAGTCTAGGATGACTCTCCAGTGGCCTCTACCCACTGTGTGCAGATAAGTGTCACTTTGTCCTCTCTACATTATCACCCTGATTCACACATCTCTTGTCTTCCAGCACCAACTTGTGCTCATTTCTTATAGACTCTAAACAGCCTTGATCTTCCCAACATCTCTCCCTCCAATAATTCCTGGACACAGCAGCTCAGTGTCCTTGTCCATGGCCTGGGTTGTGTTGCAGACCTTTTTACAGTCCTTCTTGGCCACCCCAGCCTTGGGTGTCCTATGGAATCTCACATAATCTTCTACAGCACCTTTAAAACTCTTAGCTACTTAGCAGAGGCACCTTCTGAGTTGCTGCTTTCATAGGAGAGATTCCCTTGGGAATTGATCCTGTTCTGTAGCCTCATTTTCATGTCTTATGCCACACTGATTTTATTATAAATAAATATAACGCCCAATCATCCCAGTGCTTCATATCTGTGCTGATGATACATCTGCATCCCCCCGCTTTTTTTTTTGGCCAACACCATACAGTAGATATCTGTTATTTGTCTTTCCTTCAGCTGTTCTTTTGGAAACAGCCCATTGCTCATACTGTGCATTTGGGGATATGCATTGATCACACAGTCATGACTCCTCTACCATAGTAAAGAACTTGAAGCAGACCCGACCTGGGACGGTCAATTTAGGGAATTGATATGAATGCTGGAAAGAGAATAATTCTCTTATCTTTGGGATTGCTAGAGGATGGTCACCTTATTTACAACCACGTGGAAAAACCCGGGAAGCAAGCAAACTTAGAGGAAAGACATGAGGGAAACAGAGACAGCATGAGGAGGATGTCCTTTGAGACCTGGATCTGGCCACTCCTGAAGCCAATGCCACTGCCTTAACCTTGCTGGTTATGTGAGCCAATACATCCCCTTTATTTCCTGGGCTCCCTGAGGTAGGTTTCTGTCGCCTGCAACTGAAAGGGTCCTGATGAACATATTCTGTCACTATCAACATCAACACATGCTCAGTGAGTCAACCCTAGCTTTAGGTTATTACGATTGCTGATGTGGAATTCAGTAAGTCCCAGCCTCTGCTCTCGTGAACTTACTCTCAGGTGAGAGATGGGACAGGAATAAAATATTGTAAAAAGCACAAAGTTATTCAGGCAATATAAAATTTCTTCCTGTGGATAATGATATTATGTTTGTATGAATTCAATAGCAACTGACTTTTTTTTTAGTTGACCCATTTTATTGAAGAATATAAATAGGAATTTTGGAAATAAGCCTAAGGTAAATTATTATCTTTTGGTTCACTTCATCCTGTGAATCTGTAGAGCACTGCAAAATGTATAGCGTTCCAGTCCAGTTATGCTTTGTTGGAATACAGAAAATAAAAGGAACAGAATTGAGGAAAGACACCTACAGGTGAGTCTAGCGCTCTGTATGTGGCTCATTAAATACCTATCCTGTTGCGCTTGGATTCTAGCGGCTTCTTGACGAATCGTTAGAAAAACTTTGAATCACAAACTGTCAGACAGGTGATCTTTGATCTGTATTTTTGGCATATCTACCAGTGGCCAGCATTCTTCTTATAATCGGACATTGACTCAATCTCCAATACCTTCTTGAAAGTCTGAGAGATGTGCTTTTTCTTATTTTTAAAATGTTCCAGTCTTTGTCCATCATACAATGGATGTTTATTGTGAGCTGAGCAAAAATTTTAAAGGTATAAAAGAACCATTTAAGGAGAATGACCTGTAGTCACTTGTAGTCACCCATGTGATACCACACCCAAAGGACAATAGCTAATAAGTTAATAGTTCACAACCTGATGACTACACTTGGGCTTCTTTCTAAATAACTTCAACTATGAAAGCAAAAAGAAAGGTGTGAATCTG